GCAGGAATCTATGCCATCCCTGCCTTGGCATAACTCCTGCCTTGCTGTTTGGGTTTTTTTAATCAGAAAGGGTCAGTGTTTGAGAATCCGTACTCGTCCCTGCAGCTAGGAGCTGGCAACTGGATGCTGCAATTACTCTGTAGGAATCACACAACATTGTTTGTAATTCCAGCAGTGCTGAATAGCCCTTGCCAGGACAGGTGCTCTGTTGTGACGTGTGCTGTGCGAGTATTAACTACCCTGAAGAGCTTTCTGTCTAAACAGACAAAGAGCGGGGAAAAACAAGACCAAAGTCACGGAGCTTTTTTCTCACAAGCACAGAAGTTGGTCAGCAGAAGGAGTACAACCATCATCTTGCTTCTCTTTCTGGTCTCTGCTCTGCCAGACTGCAGCAGTGGTTCGCAGAGTCCCGCCCCGTCGCGCAGGGGTGCGGGGAGCCCGGGAAGGCCCCTCCGTACGTTACTGGTTAGCAGCATGTCACCAGCCAGTGCCCAGGGCACCTTTGCTGATGTGAGGGGGAGAATGTGACTCCCTTGTCCCGGGTTGGTTCAGATCTGTGTCATCTGCAGGTGTGCTTACCGGGGTGATGGTAAGGATACGATTATCCCTTTGACTCTTACTGATTGATAAATTTTAGAAGTATTTCTGCTCACCATTCTGAGATTGTGGGAATCAACTGAGCTTAAGAATTGTCTAATGTCTTGTTTTCTTAAGGTGCATTCTGGAAAAAAAAGAAGTATTTTTAAAACCATTTCCATTACCATCAGTCTGTATTGATTTTTTTTTTTTTTCCACTTCTTCTCCCAGGTTTTGACTACTTTGAAGCTAGTGCCAAAGAAAACATCAATGTAAGGCAGGTGTTTGAGCGTCTCGTGGATATAATCTGTGATAAAATGTCAGAGAGTATAGAATCAGACCCTTCCAGGGGCACTTCTGGAAGGAGCATGCGACTCACAGACAACCCACCCCCTTCACAGCAGAACTGCTCGTGCTAGTGACCTTTCTCGCTGAGAAATGTCCTTCTCCTTTCTTCACTAAATTTTATCTTTTTCATCTGTGGTGGTGTGTTATCATGTAGTCCAAAGGCAGAAGTCTCTGTTGTAGGAAACTGGTATGTTTGTTTAATGTGCTGGAATGTTAGTATTATGTATTTCTTCATCCAATAATTTAAAAAACAAAAATCTGAATAAATATTGTAAGTGCACCTAGTGTTAATGTGAGTTACACTGAAGAAAAAGAATTGTATAGCCTTGCAAGTGTTATTTCCACAGAGAATGTTGCATTATTAATTACAAATTCTTCTCCTGGAGAAAGACGTTTTTTGTCAAGAACAGCAGGAAACAAAAACCAATTAGAAGGGACCAGCTCTAAAAGAAAATTGGGAAAAAACTCCCATATAAAACAAGAATATGCTTTTTTTTTTTTTTAACATTTAAAAAAAACAATCAGTCCCCAGATATTTTGAGAGTCATTGTTGCTATCCTCTAGACAATTGACCTCAGTTTTCTCCAGTGACCAGTAACGGCTTGCAGAGTGCTGGGGTGTCGCGGCGTTCGGCACCTGGCTTTTCCCTGGTCCTTTGTTTCAAGACGCCCAGGAGGTGCCTGTCCTCAAGCTGTTCCCACGTGTCCTGTAGTTTTACACTCTCCAGGTTTGGATCTGCTCTGATCAGCTGCTTGATGGTGGATTTGTTGCAGGGCAAAGGAGAAACTGGCTGCTGCATGTGCAGTTGGAGGCAAAATCTGACATGTAATATTTGGAACAGCACTGTCTCAGAAAGATAAAAATATCAGGAGCCAAAATGTGAATGTTGGCAAGTACCAGTGCCAATATTAGATTTTCTTTCTGCATTTTGTTGTTGATTTTTTTTTAATTTTGTGCTAGATGGGTGCGTGGGGGGTGGGGGATAGTTTTTTCTGGTTTCAGATTCAACCACAAAGTATAATTTAAAAAAAAGGAAGATTGATTAATAAAACATAACTGCAAATGAAAAATGGTAAAGACCAACGACGTCCTGTTAGAGTTACTCTATGGACAATTTGTTGCATCATTCCTTGAAGGGAGGAACAATTTTTACTACTTAACATCTAAAATATTATTATACTTCCAAAATCTCTAAAATGACAAAACTTCTCCACGACTGTGTAGTATTCTGTGTACATTAGCCACACGCAGAGCTTGTGTTTCTCTGAAATGTATGGAGGAGCTGCTTTTGTGAATCTGTGAGATGACAGGCACTGTATGCCTTTATGATCACACACTTGTTTGTGCATCCCAGCTCCAAACAGTGATTGCAAATTGTGTCTGTAAATGTAAATTAGGCCGAGATGGAGAGTTTGCTGTCTTAAAGTGAAAATTCTGAAAAGTTTAGGGTTGTTAGGCCTATGAACTCCTCTGGCTGAGGAGACTTTTTGATGTCTGAAACTGAAGTACCTGCCTGTTGCACTGTAACTTGCTGGATCACGACACTAGCGAAAACTTTTGTAATTTTGTTCTGTGTCCAAGTGTAATAGTTATAAGAAAAAAGCACAATATTCTGGAGAAGAACGTGACTACGTTGATGTAGTTTAGGCTCGTTGTGCTAAAGGCTTGATCCCTTACTTTGTATGTTGCTTTCAGAAATCTTTACTGTGACGTATTTTGGGTGTGTGTGATCTAGTACTTAAAGTGCCATTTGTGTGGTGCTAGGATGTGGTTATTGTATCTAAACACCTGAAATTGCAAAATAAAGAGAAATGTAGTCACCAGGCGTGGCCAGAGAGCTTGTGTCAGCTGCATCGTATTAGGCAATTGCATGCATGTAGAAAGAAGGTATCTTGTTAATGCCTTTAAAATACATCAAACTGCATTGCTGGGCTCAAGGATCATCCCCCTGTCAAAAAAGGTCAGTCTGGAATCACTGTGCAGCTTTAAAACAGAGTGAGGAGAAGGATTATTTGGCCAATAAATGTGCAGTGTTCTAATTGTTGCCCTAAAACCTGCTTCTGCTACTTGTGTAACGAGCAAAAAAACCCCTTCCACAGCAAGGAGCGATGATTTTGAGCTGCACAGGTACAATGGAGCACCTCCATGCAAATAATGATTTTTCAGGTCAGCAGCTCAATGGTAAAAGAAAATGGATTCAGCAGAAATGGAATTTCAATTATTTTGTTTTTACTTTTTTCTTAGCAAAAAAGACCTTTGCCTTTGCTACCTAATACATAATTGTGTTTCATTGTTTTCCAGTCAAGTCAGATTATTTTTTTTTTTTAAAGAAGAATACAAGTACATTCCAGGCCCTTCAAGCTAGGATGGGCAGAATTGGTTTTTGCAGCACAAGCTACCTGGCAGTATAGTCCACAGAACTGGAAAAGACAGTTAGGAATTCTACCCTGCCCTATATTGCATATATGGAGAAACCTAGTATTTGGTGCAGAAATCCTGCAGAGTCTGTTTCAAATAAGAAATCAAATCAGCACAGGTAACTGACACACACATAATAATGGCAGGATGTATCTCGTCATCTTACATTCGCATTAAAAGCTGTGAATGAACAGAGAAAGCCTGCCTGAAGTGGCACGCAGCTGACTTCAGTATCACCAGTGAGTCAATAATAATCGTTACTTGTATTAACTTGTAAGAGGTAATTGCAGAATGCAAGACAATAATTTGTCAAGGCAAGGGAAATAAGACTTGCCTGCACCAAAGACAAACCCAAAATGCTTGATGGGGTCTTGTATAGAGCCTTCTATGTGACTGCCTGTGGCCTAGGATAGTAGTGTTGATAAAACAGTATGGTTACAAAGTAAAAGAAAGAAAGGGGTACTAGAATGTGAAAGGAAAGAGGCAACGGCTCTTCACAAGCTTCTCTATTGGTTGTGCAATACAGCACTGACTCTGCAGTTCTCCCGTAAAGGCTGTACAGGAGGCTCTGGGTTAGACATGGGTCTTGGCTTCCACCTTGTGGAGAAATAAAGCAGTAAAATATGAGTAGGCACCCGGTCTAAATTAGCTTACCTGTGTTTCAGGCAGCCCCCCTCATTCGTATGACCCCTTAACTTTGCTTTCATCAGATCTTTTGCAGTCAACATAGACTTACACATAAAATAAGTAACAGCGCTGGTACTACAGGAATAGCAGAAAACTGGACAAATGTGGAACAATGCAAAAGGGACATCATAAATGCAACGATGAACTTGTTAACAGCTCTCAAAGTGTTACAAGGAAAAGAGTGTTGCCCACTTATGCCATTTGGAAACGCCAGCTTCAGTGAGATGCAAGATGAGGAAAAGCAGCATTTCTCTTGTCAAGACTTGACCTTGCTATGACGACACTGGTTTCACAGGGCAAAGAAGTATATTCACAAATTGGAAAATGCTGAGACCTACCAAACAGCAAAGACTAGGCCAGATCAAGAATAAACAAGAGTCTTTTCTGTTAAACAGCCATGAGTACAAATTTTATGCTGTTAAGGATACCATTAGGGGAACAAAAAAAAATTAAAAATCAGCAGTCAACACTAAGTATGTACTGGATCTCTCAAGAGACAATTGGTACTGCTGGTTAAAATAAAATTGCAAACTTAACTCTGGCGCATTTAAGCGTTGAAAAATACCAACTATCAAATTTCACTATCAAATCAAGAGTGTGGTCAGGCGTTCTGAACCCTAAGAACAGTCACATTTCTTTGAATTGACTCAATGTGGTTAGCGTTTGGCTTTTCTAATGACCGCCGAGGGAGGCTGATGACCACGATCCCGTTTCTTCGTGCCAAGTTTCGGTCTCGATTTCAGCCGGATTTCACCGCCGGCCCCGGAGCTGCTTCCCCGCGGTGTCCGGGGGCAGCGCCTTGCGCTGAGGGGACTGCGCGTGGCACCCCTCCTCGGGCAGCTTGCGCGAGCTGATTGGCACTGTCAGGAGTGAGCGACAGCTAATTGGACCAATAGTTGAAGGAAATGAGAGGAGAAGGCTGGCCCCCGCCAACCGGCGGTTGGACTGTTCCAACGCAAGAACAGGGGGGGAAGCTAACGTGGTAGGCGCGCATAAATGTCAGAACGCGACGGCACAGAGAAGAGCTCCGAGGATCTGGCTGTACTGTTCTGTGTTTTTCTTCTCGCTCTTATTTCTCCGTCCTCTCCGTCTTTTTTCTGAAAGGAGCCGCGTTACGCTCCGTCTCTCTCCCCATCTATGGTTTCCCCCACCGCGCCCACGCCACCAGCATTCTCTCCACCAATCAGAGACACGCACCCCCCTCATACGAAGAGAGGACCTGGGATTGGTCCGTTTTCCCCACTTGGCACCACGGCGG